TATTTTTTCTCCTTTTTTTAGTTTCTGTAACTTGTCATTTTTATTCAAAATGTCATAATCTTCTGTTGAAACTTCTTACTGGTGACACATACTGGACTTCTCCAATCATTTAGGCCACTGAAATCCTGGCTATTTGTTATGATCAACTGCAGGCTCTCATTTAGATCTGCCTTCATTCAATCAATAATTAATTAATGGATAGAATGGAAGTTCCAGCACTAGTTCTGCTATTACGTCTGCTACTTCCGTTATATTTGCAACTCATTAGGGTTTGATTTTATTTTAAAAACATTAGCTCTGAAAAAGGCCTTTCTTCGGTTATTGATAAACAAGAGTCAGCGTAAGGGAGTGGCAGTGAATTTTCATTGTAGTGCTACTTATGGTGTTACTTAACACATCTGTGTGTATCTTCCAGGTGCAGCCCCTAAGCCAGCTGCTCCTGTGGATCCCTGGGGTCTTCCCAGTGCCTCTTCCTCAGTTGCTCCTCTGAAAAGCAGTGACCCCTGGCGGTCAACCCAGGCTCCTGCAGCTGCTGATCCCTGGAGCCCAATGCCTGCCACTCGCCCCAAAGCCCCTGCCACAGGTGAGCATGTTAAAATGTGTTTCACGTTAAAATTTGTTTATACATTTTATACAGTTACATTGAGAAACAAGACTGCTCTCTTATTTTGCATTCTTGTATATTAAAAATTAAAAGCTTTCTTCATTTTTAATCCCAACTGTCTTTCTTATTTCCCTCAGTTGGTAGCTTTGATCTTTTCTCCACACCAAATGGTACTTCCAGGGAGGACCTCTCTGAGTTTGACAGTCTTCGCTCCTCAGCAGTGACCGGTAAATGCAGGCTGCTATTAAATCGGTTTACTAGTTAAAAGAAGTGTCATCTGCAGTTGGGAATGACATGAGGATATGATATTTTTAACAGGAGATGGTAGAGGAAGCTCTGCCTTGCCATCACAGACCAGCTTGTCTGTAGGCTCTGATCTGTTTGACGTACCGAGCGGCCCAACCAGAAAAACTCCAGAGTCTTTCCTGGGTCCCAACGCCGCTCTTGTCAACCTAGACTCTCTGATCAGCAAGCCTCCCCAGCAGGCTCCAGTCTCCAACCCTTTCTTAGCTGGAGGTACTCTTCACCAGTTACATGTCTAGAAGATCTCTTGCACATTTACAGGGGTCTTACAATTCAGTTTTATAAAATTCAGGGTCAGAAAGTCTTAATTATCACTTTAAAAAGTCTTACATTTGGGGACAGAAAGCAGTAATCTCAAAACGGTCTAATATAATTCTTAAACTTAAAGTTATGATTTAATTCAATGTGAGAGCAGCACATTTCAAAGTCAAAACAGTTCTGTCGTACATTCTATAGGCTCACGCTTTCAGAGCAGTTCACAATCAGTGAAGACAGCACATTTATTTTCTTATTGATGTTTACTGAAGAATGATGACTATTTATGGTTTTCATATTGTAATATGTTGTAGATATATACATTATATACATTGAGAATATAGATTTTACTATTATCGGCATAATAATGTGTAATTATTGTCTCAGCAAAATCTAATATGGCTCAACCTGTTCATATGCATTGATACATGAACTGATTTCAATACTTTTTGAATAAAACATATTTTGAGCATTCTAAACTTGCAGCAATTGTGATTGTGTTGGTTTGTTCTGAATGAACATAGTGTTAATTTTATTTAAAAAGCCTTGAATTTGATTTTAAAAACCCTGCAGATGGCCAGATTTTTCTCATTATGCAATGCACTCACCTGTACCCTCACATTGGTCTAATTTCAGTCTCGGGAGCAGCTTCAGCTCCTGCAGCTCAGGTCAACCCCTTCCAGGTGAACCAGCCACAGCCACCCACCCTCAACCAGATGAGAGTCAGTCCCATGATGGGCGTGAGCGGACAGGGCTTCAGCGTGGCCCAGAGAAGCAACGAGCCCTTGCCTCTGTCCTCAATGCCCCCAGCTGGCCCCGTCTCCATGGTATCCATGGCCGGCATGGCTCCTCTCGGGCCCGTGGGCCAGATGCCAAGCATGGGGATCCCAGCCTCCATGCCCCAGCCGCTCATGAGTGGAAGGCTGCCACCCACAGGCGCAGTGACACAAGACGGTGGCACAACCAACCCCTTCTTATTGTGAGGAACAACATTTGCCTCCCCGAAACCCACACAAATCTCTCTCCCATCCCCGTTTCTGTGGTATAGACAACGTGGTCTGTTGTGTTCCCCCAAACCTGTGTGCTATTTTGAGACTTTTGGGAGTAGCAGTGGTGTTTACAGGTTTTACGATTCCCTTGCTCTCCTGTCAGAGATTGGTACCATACAACGATTTGGTATTCTTTTCTAAATTTTCTCAGAAAAAAAAAACCCATCAGCGATACAGCGTCTAGGACTTTTCTTCCCGGGAGCAACCTCTCATTTCAAGGGGTCCTGTTTTTAACTTCTTTTTTTGATGGCTTACTTTTCTTATCAGAGGCTTGAAACTAGGAGTACTGGTTTGTCTTAATTTTTCTAATTTCTAGTCTTTGAAAGCTGTGTGCTAGATAAAGCTAACCCTTTTAATCGAAGCAGCCTGTAAGTTCTACGCAGTGCATATACACTATGTGTATTTACAGTACGCTTGAGTAGACAGTTTAGAGGACTCTCTATCAGTTTACATGGAAATGATTTTAATGTTCTAAGCAGGGATTTTGCACATGCTCTGATTGATCTTCTTTTGACTGTTGACCCACCGTTAGTCCTTAGCGCAAGAAGCGATGGGAAACCGTTCACTAAGACATGAGCAAAGCCGAGGACTAGGAGGGAGTCTGTGAACTGCATGTGTGAATGGTTTCAAACCTGATGCATTGAAAGATGAACTTCATACTGAAGTGAAGAGTAGTTCTTTCTTCCGTTTTTAATGCATGACGGATAGTTGGTTTGCATATAATACAGCTCAACTTTTATACCGAAGCCTGTTTTTTACTGCTTTACAAGCCCGAGACGTTGTTTATTGGGTGAATGGGTTCTTTCAATTCAGTACGGCTCACTATTTGCACAGCACAGCTCCATATTCCGACAGCTAATCCATACTAATGATTAGTATTCATCCGCTTAGCTTCTCTGCGAGTATCCAACAATCTGAAATGTGATCATTTCAGTAACGTTTTTATTTTGAATTTATGTATCTGTGCTTATGGAAGGAGCAAAGGGAAACGGGAGGACATTTGTGTTTGAATATCTTCATCAGCTCCTAATGCATCTTACTGTTATAACTGACAGCTGTATCACTAATCTCTGCTTCCTAATGCAATCTGTTCATATACGTCGGGGAATATAGCCAAGCTTATATCAGAGCTTGTCGTTAACAAAATCCTCAGTTCTGTATTCAAACCTAACTTGCTTATAGTGTTACAAGAATGAGTGGACATGCTAAAACAGGTTATAATGTGGGAGAGGTCCTGTAATAGATTGTATGATTGATTTTTTTCAAAAAAATTTTGTCTGTTTGTTGAATATGTGGTATAAATGTATGTTAGGGTTCATATGCATCTTTTTTACAGCTAGAAACCTGTGGTTGATTTGCATTGTTCTGTATTCAAGATTATTTTGGCCACAGTTTTATCATTAAATGAGACTTAAACTAGACTATGAATTGTTTATCACAATTAGCAGTCCATTTAAAGTGAGAACGCCTATGATTTGGTGTTTCGTGTGGCTTGCTGTGTCAACACTTTCAATTCAACCAGTTAAGCACAAGATGGCAACATCTGCCACCAATAGTAGTCCTTTTAAATGCAGAGCTACAATTGTTTTCTAACTGACTACACATCTATCTCTCTTCAGTTGTTCCCCAGTTATTATTATCATCATTATTCCTGCTTTTTCTTTTGGATTACGGCTAGAGTATTGACTCTACGGTTTCTCTCATTTGCGAGCTAGTGATCTCTGCTGAAAATATTGTAGTACTGCCCACGTGCAGCCTTGTAGCAGAGCCTGGGTGTGTTAAAGTCAATAATCTGCAGGCATACTCAGGCATTTTGGGGGGTGGGGGTGGCTATAAAGACAGCTTTAAGATGTATGTAATGCGCTTTTGATGGCCGTGATGGTTTAAGCAGGCACTGATCCTGCTAAACAAGACTCCCTGCTAGTGAACATCACTGTACTCGATTATGCAGACTAGTTTTACTTTTGAATCCATACTATATCTAGCTCATTTCGTCTTGACCATCTTATTTTGCTGTTACCGTGTATCACCCATTTTTCTGTTATGTACTCATTATGCATTTATTGTAGACGTCTAACCTTGTGAACATGCATAACATTTTATTTTTCCATGTTATCGTGTCTGTGCATTTACCAAACTGTCTCATATTACTGGGAGCAGGCTGCTTTTATGGATATGTGCTCAACTTGTTGGCATTATAACTGTATAATATAATTTATCATCTGTTCTATTGTAACATATTGTTGTGTACCTTGTTTCTGTGTAATGGTTTTGTAGGAAAGTCACAGGAAGAGTGTGATGTTTTATTGCCATCTAAACCGCAGCAAGTGATAAAGGACCTGTAGCTGCAGTGGTAAAACAAATAAATTGTATCAATGACTTTTGATCGGTCTATTCATGCTGTCAGTAAACACAGACATCACATTATTGTGGCGCCACAGCCAGTGTTATTTTAGCATCATTGAGATACTATTATAGTTTTAATTAATATTTTGAATTTGTTTCGTTTTATTTTTAAAGTTTGAGTAATTTTGTCGTGGATTTAGGATTTTCATTAGTTTTTTTTGTAAAGTTTTTTATTTTATCACGTTAAAAATTTTATCACGTTAAAGTGAGAAATGTTTTTTTGTAGTTTTAGTTAACTGTAATAACCCTGGTTAAAGGTTAATCGTATTTGGTGTTTAGGGTTAAAAATAGGCAAAGATGGAATTTGCAGATTAGAATTGGACTTCAGATAATGCAAATCAAATATGAGCCAAATTATTTAGGTCAGAAATGGTTGACTTCTAGAAATGCACAAGACCAATTTATTTAAAAACTACACCGCTGATAAAGCAATATCACATGTGTAGTCATAAAGCAACTATGAATCTGAATAAAGCAACTTGAAACCAAGATTACAAAAATATCCTGAAAGTGGTTATTAAAGCTGTTGTGATGTTCTTGCCAGTCCTGTAGCAGCTGAATGCTCTGATGTAGTTTCATAACCCAGTTTCTTCATGTCTTTAGTCACAATGTTGAACTGTAGTGTAACAAAACCTTGTGAGCGCACCCTCGTAACTGCAAACAGACAAAATTGCATCAGTTATGGCTTGTAAATACACTATTGCAGTAGAACAGTTTCTGAGGACCGACACCTTGGCTTGAGATGGAAAACATCCACTGATATGTGTCATATTTAATTTTGAGGCAAGGGTTAAATAAAAGCTTACCTTCTCTTCCCTCTCCTTGGGCAACAACCTTGGGATCTGTGAACTCTGGACGCCTTCCCATCAGCCAGCTGCATGCAAGATATAACATGTTAGATACAGAGTCAGATGAAAATAAATGTTTTCAAGTTACAATGTACCATCCCATTTGAAACGTTCATACAAGTTGCACATTAACTAAAACTTAGTTCAAGTTAAGTCTTGAGGACAAAAGGGGATGGCAGCAGCTAAATTTAATTCAGATTACAACCCTAAGCTGCAGCATAATTAATTGGATAATTTTACAACTCTTCTCATGTCTACATGCGAATGTGAATGAAAACACCAGCCGAGGTAAATTTGGAATATTTGGGAGAAATCAGTTATAACCTTGTGAACTTCTGAAGTCTTGATGTAGATTCAGGAACAAACATAGGAATGGTCTTGGTGTGTCTGGACAGAGAGCATTCATATGTTACTGTGCATTTTAGACAGATTTTGAGCATGCTGGCTGCTTTTGTCACATTATGACAATCTTAAAGTGACTCACTTTCCAGGTGTAAACGGGATGTGTACGGCTCCATAACCTCTCACAACATCATTTCCAAAAGTGTCTGGGCCATACACACTAACCACAATCTGGGGCCCTGAAGAAAAAAAAAAAAATATATATATATATATAGGTGGATACTTAAAAATATACAGGTGCATCTCAATAAATTAGAATGTTGTGGAAAAGTTCATTTATTTCAGTAATTCAACTCAAATTGTGAAACTCGTGTATTAAACAAATTAATTGCACACAGACTGAAGTAGTTTAAGTCTTTGATTCTTTTAATTCATGATTTTGGCTCACATTTAACAAAAACCCACCAATTCACTATCTCAACAAATTAGAATACTTCATAAGAACAATAAAAAAACAATTTTTTGTTAATTGTTGGCCTTCTGGAAAGTATGTTCATTTACTGTACATGTACTCAATACTTGGTAGGGGCTCCCTTTGCTTTAATTACTGCCTCAATTCGGCGTGGCATGGAGGTGATCAGTTTGTGGCACTGCTGAGGTGGTATGGAAGCCCAGGTTTCTTTGACAGTGGCCTTCAGCTCATCTGCATTTTTTGGTTTCTTATTTCTCATTTTCCTCTTGACAATACCCCATAGATTCTCTATGGGGTTCAGGTCTGGTGAGTTTGCTGGCCAGTCAAGCACACAACACCATGGTCATTTAACCAACTTTTGGTGCTTTTGGCAGTGTGGGCAGGTGCCAAATCCTGCTGGAAAATGAAATCAGCATCTTCAAAAAGCTGGTCAGCAGAAGGAAGCATGAAGTGCTCCAAAATTTCTTGGTAAACGGGTGCAGTGACGTTGTCTGTGGTTCAGGAGTGGCTTAACAAGAGGAATGTGACAACTGTAGCCAAATTCCTTGACACGTTTGTGTGTGGTGGCTCTTGATGCCTTGACCCCAGCCTCAGTCCATTCCTTCTGAAGTTCACTCAAATTCTTGAACCGATTTTGCTTGACAATCTTCATAAGGCTGTGGTTCTCTCGGTTGGTTGTGCATCTTTTTCTTCCACACTTTTTCCTTCCACTCAACTTTGTTAACATGCTTGGATACAGCACTCTGTGAACAGCCAGCTTCTTTGGCAATGAATGTTTGTGGCTTACCCTCCTTGTGAAGGGTGTCAATGATTGTCTTCTGGACAACTGTCAGATCAGCAGTCTTCCCCATGATTGTGTAGCCTAGTGAACCAAACTGAGAGACCATTTTGAAGGCTCAGGAAACCTTTGCAGGTGTTTTGAGTTGATTAGCTGATTGGCATGTCACCATATTCTAATTTGTTGAGATAGTGAATTGGTGGGTTTTTGTTAAATGTGAGCCAAAATCATCACAATTAAAAGAACCAAAGACTTAAACTACTTCAGTCTGTGTGCATTGAATTTATTTAATACAGTTAATGAGTTTCACAATTTGAGTTGAATTACTGAAATAAATGAACTTTTCCACGACATTCTAATTTGAGATGCACCTGTATATCATGTCATATATATTACAATATATGACATGCAGATTTTATGTAGATCTTCAGAATATTATTCCTTCATCATAAATTTAAGACTTTTTAACTACCTTTTTAAGACCAACTAAATAAATTAAAAGAATAAACTGAAGAGAACACAATATGGCAGTATGATCTCTAAATGTAAATGTTTAGGAAGCACACAAGTTGTATTAGCAACACTTCAAAGTTTGAAAATGCAACTTCCATAAGATCTCCATTACTTTTTAAATCATTTGACAAAAAAGGCTTGAATAGCTCTGCGCCTAACCACTAGAATATGGAAATAACTGAACCTACTGATCACACTGCAAAAATGTTTTTGATGTTATTCCTGCAGTATTTTTTGTCTTGTTTTCCAATGCATAGCCACAGTGTGTAAAGATTAAATCAAAATGTCATAAAATAAGAAGTCTTGTTTTCTGTGAAGCTGATCAAAGGGAAGTGAGTTTAATATTTAAAACAAGAACAATTATCTGCCAGTGGACTCAGAAACAACTTGATTAAAAGGGAGAACAAGATTTAATGTTCCAATGACAGATATACAGTGGGGCAAAAAAGTATTTAGTCAGCCACCAATTGTGCAAGTTCTCCCACTTAAAAAGATGAGAGAGGCCTGTAATTTTCATCATAGGTATACCTCAACTATGAGAGACAAAATGAGAAAGAAAAATCCAGAAAATCACATTGTAGGATTTTTAAAGAATTAATTGGTAAATTCCTCGGTAAAATAAGTATTTGGTCACCTACAAACAAGCAAGATTTCTGGCTCTCACAGACCTGTAACTTCTTCTTTAAGAGGTTCCTCTGTCCTCCACTCGTTACCTGTATTAATGGCATCTGTTTGAACTCATTGTCAGTATAAAAGACACCTGTCCACAACCTCAAACAGTCACACTCCAAACTCCACCATGGCCAAGACCAAAGAGCTGTCAAAGGACACCAGAAAAAAAATTGTAGACCTGCACCAGGCTGAGAAGACTGAATCTGCAATAGGTAAGCAGCTTAGTGTGAAGAAATCAACTGTGGGAGCAATTATTAGAAAATGGAAGACATACAAGACCACTGATAATCTCCCTCGATCTGGGGCTCCACGCAAGATCTCACCCCGTGGGGTCAAAACGATCACAAGAACTGTGAGCAAAAATCCCACAACCACACGGGGGGACCTAGTGAATGACCTGCAGAGAGCTGGGACCAAAGTAACAAAGGCTACCATCAGTAACACACTGCGCCGCCAGGGACTCAAATCCTGCAGTGACAGACGTGTCCCCCTGCTTAAGCCAGTACATGTCCAGGCCCGTCTAAAGTTTGCTAAAGAGCATTTGGATGATCCAGAAGAGGATTGGGAGAATGTCATATGGTCAGATGAAACCAAAATAAAACTTTTTGGTAAAAACTCAACTTGACCAGAAGAGGATTGGGAGAATGTCATATGGTCAGATGAAACCAAAATAGAACTTTTTGGTAAAAACTCAACTTGACCAGAAGAGGATTGGGAGAATGTCATATGGTCAGATGAAACCAAAATAGAACTTTTTGGTAAAAACTCAACTTGTCGTGTTTGGAGGAGAAAGAATGCTGAGTTGCATCCAAAGAACACCATACCTACTGTGAAGCATGGGGGTGGAAACATCATGCTTTGGGGCTGATTTTCTGCAAAGGGACCAGGACGACTGATCCGTGTAAACGAAAGAATGAATGGGGCCATGTATCGTGAGATTTTGAGTGAAAACCTCCTTCCATCAGCAAGGGCATTGAAGATGAAACGTGGCTGGGTCTTTCAGCATGACAATGATCCCAAACACACCGCCTGGGCAACGAAGGAGTGGCTTCGTAAGAAGTATTTCAAGGTCCTGGAGTGGCCTAGCCGGTCTCCAGATCTCAACCCCATAGAACATCTTTGGAAGGAGTTGAAAATCCGTGTTGCCCAGCGACAGCCCCAAAACATTACTGCTCTAGAGGAGATCTGCATGGAGGAATGGGCCAAAATACCAGCAACAGTGTGTGAAAACCTTGTGAAGACTTACAGAAAACGTTTGACCTCTGTCATTGCCAACAAAGGGTATACAACAAAGTATTGAGATAAAATTTTGTTATTGACCAAATACTTATTTTCCACCATAATTTACAAATAAATTCTTTAAAAATCCTACAATGTGATTTTCTGGATTTTTTTTTCTCATTTTGTCTCTCATAGTTGAGGTATACCTATGATGAAAATTACAGGCCTCTCTCATCTTTTTAAGTGGGAGAACTTGCACAATTGGTGGCTGACTAAATACTTTTTTTCCCCACTGTATATTCTTGTTAAATCATAAACACACTTCATTTTGTTTATTTTCTCACAAAATAAGACTTCATATCTTCATTTTGCATCTCAACTAAATGCATTTGGACGTTTCGATATTAATATTGGAAAACAAGACAAAAATACAGAGGAATTTTTTTTTTGCAGTTGAGGCATTATTTAATTCCTTAACTTAAGATTTTCTGCTCTGATTTAAGTCCCTTTAAAGGCCTTAATTTGTGGAAGGGTGAATTAAGACCTTTAAGTTTTAGTTTATTACCTTTAAAGGGGTCATATGATGCGATTTCAAGTTTTCCTTTTTCTTTGGAGTGTTACAAGCTGATTGGCACATCGTTGACCCTCAAATCTGTTTTGTCTACAATGTAGTCTGATTTGAACTAGATTGTGAGTAGATTTGAACTTTGTTTTATACAAGTTCAAGTTTATTCACTCAGTATGTAAAGGGAAGACATTAGGTTATGACCATAATGGAGTGGAAGATACAGCCACTTAATGCCATTACAACTTTGCGTATTATGGCTTAAAAGCTCATAAATATATAATATTGTTTAATATAATGACTTTTAGATTTTTATGTACTGAACTTGCCATCCTGTATAATAGTCAGTCCCTGACCTGCATCTGAAAATACCAGGTCACTGTTTCTCCGACTGTCTTTGGAAAGCTAAGCTGAGACACAATCTGAATATACGTCATGTAAAATTTGTATCGATTTATGTCCTTCCCTCCAGACTCCAATAATGGTCAAAAGCAGAGTGCCATTTATTATGAGGGCTAATCATTAATATTGCCTCTCCATTAGCTGGAGTGCAGCTCTGTGACAGAATAATGGTCTGTGTCAGACAGATGAGAGGGTCACCGTGGATCTGCACGTGTCAAATTACACATAAAAAATAAAACTTGAACTTGTCTTGTGGCAGAGATCATAGCTCTTTCATTTTGACCACTCCCTAATTTTGCATGAAAGGTAAATCTTTCCCACCGATGCTTTTAGGATTTTTCCATTTGATAAATAATAAAAGAGTGAATTTTCATTTGGGAGCACATAAGTGGTTTTGTCTCGGGCATTACCGTAACTGATGTTTACTGATTTTCCCGGATTGATCTGAAGTTACACAGGAAACGATAGCATAGGAGGGATGTGAACTTACACTAATGCTTAATAGATCAATCTTTTTTTTTTAATTAATTAATGCTTTTAATCAACAAGGATGCATTAAATTGATCAAAAGTGACAGTAAAGACATTTATTAATATTACAAAACTTCAAATGCGAT